CACACACACACACACACACACACACACACACACACACACACACACACGTTCTTGTTTTGTAAATCCTGTAAGACTCACCTTCCCAAATACAGAATATAACATTTAGTCCCTAAAAATATACTGTGTGTTGTAGTAATAATATTCACCTACATTTAGCTTTTAACTTAATCTCCCATGGAACAGTGAAGTAGGCAGGTGGATTAGTCTGGAGGTCATAGGAGATACCAGGTTGGACATCATATTTAAATCATCCTTATATGTTATTTGAAGTCATGAGGCAACCTGAGAATGAATGTCAAAAAGGGCAGAGGGCTAGCTTTTGTGAGTGGAGGCAGCTATGGCCAGAGTGGCTTCAGAGGATCGGCTCCTCTTAGCAAGGAACTTTCTGCTCCTGTAAGCCCTTTATCCCTATGGCACACTGAGCTCTTTTCTTTTGCCACTTCAAAGGTTATGACAGCTACACATCCTGATTCTTCATCCGTGCAAGGGTCCACCAAGGGTAGACGACGTTACCTGCTGGCAGCCATCCTTCTGAGAGGGACTAAGGAAGACACTTAACAATCATTCTGTTCTTACCTGTAATAAACTTCATTTAATTTTGAGTTCAGTGTCTGTGATGATTAAGAAATGACAACACCTTTCCCCAGAAATATATTTACCTCTGAAGTTAAAAACTGTCTTGGAAGGATCCAATAAAAATGGTGAATTCACTGAATGCCTGTCTCAATTCACTTGGTTTGTGGCTGAGTTATTTTTTCTGCTCTGTCACCATTGAAATTAAGCTTTAAGAGGCCGGACATGGTGACACATGACTGTAATCCCAGCACTGGCAGGCAGAGGCAGGTGGATCTCTGTGAATTCAAGGCCAGCCTGGTCTACAAAGAGAGTCCAGAACAGCTAGGACTCTGTTACACAGAGAAACCCTGTCCCTTTAAAAATAAATAAATAAATAATAAAAAATGAGCTTTAAGAGATCAATTGTACTGTCTCAATCCATATTTATTATCTGCCTTATTCTATCAGTACAATTATCCGGTCTTTTAGAATCTTGCCTCCAATCTGCACATGGTTCCGGGTAAAAAATTAAAAATTTAAAAATATATTATGGGAAACTTCAGAAAAGCATATACAAATAGAGATCCAGTTTCAGTAATGACAGTTTGTCTTGCTTTATCTATTGCCATAGCTAGTTTCAACCACAATTGAATGTGGAAGCAGTTAGATATATTTCCAAAGATTGCCTTCCCAGATGGTGGGGAGTTAGACCCCATTTCTTTCCCTGTCCTTGGAAGTAGCAATTCCAAATACTTTAACAAGTCCTTTGAAAGCCTTAACCTGGTTTTGCATGCTTGTAATTCTCCCCTCTGGAAGCTGATGCAGGAGGATCCCAAGTTCTAGACCAGCCTCTGGGTTCATAGAGAAGCTTAAGATGAAATATGAAAGGTTTTTGGACAACTGCCACACAATGCGATACTGTTACATTATATATTTTACAATATTTAATATTTGTGAGGTGTTTATGATTTGCTAGTGTGACACGTTAAATACTACATTTGTGTTCATAATTTTTATTATTTTTTATATAAATAACTACTAACATTATAAGCTTCAACCAGAAATTCTGACATCCCACTACACCGAACAAGCTGAGGAGAACACCCCCTCCCCCACCCCGGAAAGGCAAGGCGAAAGGCTAAGTTTAAAGACAGTGTTCTAGGTGTTCTAGTTTTATGTGGATACGCCATTCTTTTTCCTTTCCAGGGACGTTGGTATCGCTGGCCAGCTAGACTGCGCGCGGCCTTGCTCCGTACACTCACCCCCTGGGGCTGAGAGAACACCCACCACCGGAACTGGCTGAGGCTGTGCCGCGTGCGCTGAGCAGCAAACCAGCCCCAAGGCATCCTGGGAGGGTGAAGGCCTGAAGTGACCAGTGGCCAGCACAGGAGCATCCACCTGAGGAGAGGCGCTCAGGTCTGAGGTAACCAGCCAACACCCGCAGAAGTGTCCATCTGATGGGAGGGGGGACTTGCGGCCTGAGGTGACCAGCAGAAGGACAGGAGCATACATCTGAGGTGAGGCCTGCGGCCCTGAAGTAAGCAGCCAGCAGCACAGGAGCGGCAGTCTGATGCCTGTAGGGCCAAAGATGGAGCCACCAGCGCAGGAGCTTCTTTCTGAGGCCTGAGGTGGCCACCCTTCCCACTCACCAGCCTAGGAACATCTAGCTGAGGGGCTGGCCTGCAGCCTGAGGCAGCCACCCTTCCCTGCTGAGGACCCTCACCTCAGCCTCAGGCTATGCAGCCAGTGTTCATACCTGCTTCAGTTCCCAGGACAGGTGGGAGGGGTCTCTAGGACAAAAGAAAGAGAAGCAGCCAAAAGGAATCCCAAGCCTCTAAGGCCATGCTTTTTTCCACATTGACATACTAAATCTCAGTTTTTCTTGCTTAGAGATTCCACTATTTATGGCTGCCCCACCATCTTCCAACTGTGATGAACATTTCAGTGTGGAGAAATTAAAGGAATGGCCAGAGCCAGAGTCTGTTTCTTTAATGGAGGTAACAGCACAGCTTTTTTAAATTTTGTTTTGTTGTTTTTCTTTTCCTTCTTTCCTTCTTTCCTTCCTTCTTTCCTTCCTTCCTTCTTTCCTTCTTTCCTTCCTTCTTTCCTTCCTTCCTTCCTTCCTTTTTTCTTCATAAGAAGCTAGATATTTTATTTGGAACCAAGTGATAGTTCTTATCATGGATTTATTGTCAAGATTGACATGGGAAGAGTACTTAAAGGCTTCTTGATTTTCTTTTTGAGACATTGTCTTTCAATGAGACACAAAATCCCTTGAGTTTAGGACCAGTTTGGTCTCATGTGTGTATTTCCGTATTGGAACAGTGGTTGGCTTAGATTAGATATGCAGAAGGGTACAGTGAGTGGAAACGCCTGGGTCCGGATTCAGCCAAAAGCCACCCTGAAGGACAGGGCACCAACTGGCTGCCAGGGTAGGTAACATAGCTAAGTAATAGCTTAGTAGGTAAACACGACAGCTCAGAGCTTGCCCTTCCATGGCTGATAAGGATTTGTTCATAAAGGTTTAGTTTTATAGTTTCTGTGGTTTTCCTCATTGTAAAGAAAGCTCTTGAGAAGTTAGCTTCCCTCTTTGCCATGGTGGCAATAAGAAGTGTGAATATGAGTCTAATATTTTTGTGTTTGTGAACAGTGGATTTCAGAGGTGCTGCTATGAATTGTTAACATGTATAAATTTTCTGAAAAATTGCAAAGAATGCCTTTTAATGACAATGTCTAGATCTCTCTCTCTTTTAATTAAATTACATTTATTTATATGTATATATATGCAGAAGGCAAACATACAGGGACAGGAGGCCAAAGGACAGTTTTCAGGAAGGGTTCTCTCCTTCTACCATGTGGGCTCCAGGGATTGGATTGAACCCAGGTGGTTAGACCTGGTGGCAAGCACCTTTCCTGGCTGAGCTATCTTGACAGCCCTTCATCTCCTTCTCTTTCTTCTTCTTCATTTCATAGTAGACTTGGCTGATCTGAAATTTGCTATGTAGACCAGGCTAGCCTGGAACTCACAGAGATCTGCCTGCCTCTGTGCTGGGATTAGAGGCATGTACCACCCTACCCCACCTGATCTATCTTTCTTTCTTTCTTTCTTTCTTTCTTTCTTTCTTTCTTTCTTTCTCTCTCTCTCTCTCTCTCTCTCTCTCTCTCTCTCTTTATTTCTTTAATAAAAAGGTTGTTGACCAAGAGTGCATATAACATTTGTTAACTTAGTTATAATCTTACTAGGAAGGCTAAAAAATGTGATTTCCCAATGATACTTGTATGTTCCTACTTCTCCAAATATCGGTCATTCTATGTTTACAGTATACTTTCAGAGGCATATTTTGTTTTTCATACTTTTTTCATTGCCATTTTAAGGTGATTCTGACCAGGCTTTAGGTAGAATTGTGCATATTCTAGAACTTACATTGGAGAAGATCCAGTTCAGGTATAATTTTGGATTTCATAAGAATATATTAAATTACAGCTGCAAAATGCAACTCTGCTTTTGAGACTTATATACATATATGGTGTCTGAGTTTAGGATTTAGTTGGTCTTGATGTATGCAATGTGGTAGAACAGAAGGATGGGCCACACATGAGTAGCAAAATTCTAAGAAATCCTGAGTTTTTACTAGAGGCCATTATTTTAAGTAATAATGTATGTCTTCAAGACACTGGATTTGCATTGCCTCTTCATTTGTTGCTCTTTAGTCATTTAAGAGTAAAAGCTGGTCTGTTCACAGTGGTGAGAGAGTGCCATAGAGAGGAGGGTTCAGTGCACCATTCTGCACCAGCTCAGAGCTCCTTCCTGGCCAGCCTCACCAAGTCGAGTTTTCTGCTTTTTGAGTCCAGCACTAAGTTGAAATGTGTGAGTTTTGCGGTTTGTTTTGAGACAAGGCCTCATGTAACCTAGGCTAGCCTTTAGCACCACCACACCTACTTCTCGCCATTTTGTAGCTTGTACTGAGGGCTTAGAGGGCTTCATGTCTGCTTTACCAACTGGACCGCATCCCCAACCCTTGAGGTTTGGTGTATGAAAAGACCTATCAGAAAGCAAATCTAAAAGAGTCTCCTAAAATACAATTATGTGAACGTCTGAAAAGAGAGCTCATTCTCTATAAAAATGATTAGTAAGCTTCTTGGGACTTTATTCTTTTATTTCATTTTTAATTATGTGCTTTATGTGGGTATGTGCACTTCAGTGCAGGTGCTTACAGAGGCCAGAGGTGTTGGGCCCTATGGAGTTAGAGTTACAGGCAGTTGTGAACTGAACGGTTGGGCATAGGTGTGGGGAATCAAACCTGGACCTCTGCATGAACAGTATATGCTTATAACTGCTGAACCATCTCTCCAGCCCCAGCTTCTTGAAACTTTAACAAAATATGATTTAATGATAGAATATTAGGGATGTGTTTCAAAGTAGTCAACTAGAATGGCAGAAAAGTGAGTAGGGGTTTATATGAAATGATACTGAGTTGCTACTTATTATAACTGGGTTATGAGTTATTAAAGAATAGTATTTAAATTTTTTCATAGTAATGAGTTAAAATTATGTTTTGAGAGACAGGCATTAGATTTGCAGTAGCGATATTGGAATATTGCCTGGGATTTGTCATTCTAATTGTTCCTTCAAAATTTTTGACCTACCATTCAATTTTGTTTTTAGGTATTAGCTAGAGAAGACATTGACGAAGCTGTACATGCAATATTATTTAGAGAAAACCATCTCGTAAAGGTAAGACCTGGCTGCATAGTTTGTTCTGAGCATGTTCTGGGGGAGCAGGAGTGATGCAGAAAGGCATGGCCAAGAGCTGATGTCATGCTCTGTGGCTGTGAAGATTAAAAAGCTGAATAGAGCAAAGATGTGTTTGGCTCAGAGATTCAGGGGTTCTGCCCACAGTCTCTTCACTCTGTCACTCTGAGTCTGTGGCAGAGCAGAGCGTAATGGCAGGGGGAGCCATAGCTGCTCACCTCTGGACATCCAGGAAGCAAAACAAAAGGAGTGAAGGGCCCAGAGTCTTAGTATCTTCTTCAAAGGCATCAAAGGCATGCTCCCAACAACCTAACTTCTGGCTACTAGCCCTGCCTCCTGCACTTTCCACCTCACCCCCCGATAGCCCTATCACCTGGAAACACAAATCAACACATGAGTTTTGAGGGACATTTAACATTCAGGCTGTAATATTCTGTCAGAGGTACTGATTTGCAGGCAAAAGGCCACACCTCTGATTTATACTTTTACACTGTGCAACCCCGAGATTACAAATACCCCCTACAGGGTCACTGAGGTCCCACATCTTGCTTGGATCTGCCCTTAAGGAATCTGTGCGGTGTGCCCCCTCTTTGACTTCTTCTTTTTTTTTTTCCCCTACTTTCCCATATTGCATTGGGCTATATCAAATCACCAGAAATTAATTAGTATTTAATGATGATGACCATTTAAGTGACCAATAATCTCTATGGGGTTAATATGCTTTAAAGGAGTTAATTCCCATCTAAAAGACTGAAATTTAGTATTATAACAATACCTAAACATTTTTATTGTGATCTGTAATTTACAAAATAGATGGATATCCATTCTTTCTGTCTCAAAATAGTTTATTGAGTACACTGTCAGAGGGCAGTGGGCTAGGCGGTAACTAAATCACTTGCCCATAAATTCTAGTCTGCATATCAAAAGGAGCACAGGCTTAGCCTACTGTCGTGGGTCAGAGAGTGGTATCAAGGTAAGCCTTTGTTCTTCCAGTTCAGGCACAGACCTTGTGGTGGGAAAGCCTAGATACGGAATGCATGACTGGTTAACACTTTGGAAATTATAAAAAGAAATAAGAATTTGGTGAGTTAGGAAAGGCTTAATTGAGTTTATGAGTTGGCTGACAGTTTACTTTGAAGGCTCAGGATGATTTAGAATTTTCCATATTCTCTTCCTGCCCCGTGGCCCCTTGTTAACTCTCTGAAGTTTAGTCTGCACTGCAGTTATTTAGTGTGATGCATAGACAGTATGAATGGGAGAGCTTAGGAGTGGATGTTTTCTTCTGCACTAATAAAATGATAAGTGAATTTTTTCATTATTTGTCTTGTTTATATTACTTTATTAGAGATTGGATACATATTTTCAGAATCTAGATGCTTATAAGGAAAGAAGAAAAGAGATGTTACATAAAAAATGGGTTGAAAATGTGTCACAGCCTACTCAGCAGAGAATTATAGAAGTAATGTCATACAGAAGACCTGGAAAAAGTCAAATGAAATGTGAATACTGTTTAAAGTACACAAATAAACCGGTACTGGGCTTTATTACTTCTTTACTTAACTATGCAGTCATTGTTTTTCTTTTTCTCCTGCTGTCCTAATGTGTCCGGGTCATTCCATCATTCTCATATCTGCCTGATGCTGCTCACAGCACCAGGTGGTGGGTAGGAAGACGGAGGGGAAGGTATCCAGGAATCTTTGTACCCTGGTCCTTTTATCAGGAAGCACAGAATCTCCAGCAGTCCCTAGGCTGACCTTTCAGCTCTCATTACCAGGGCTGGGTCAATGGCAAGTTTGAGTTCAGTGCAGGGCTAGGAGAATGTGTGCCTTTGTAGTCTCTGAGATAGGAAGTGGGAGAAGTGGACTGCATAGCAATGCAGTCAGGAGACAGTTAAGCTTAGGGATGGGCACTTCTTTTCTTTTTTTGGGGGGGTTTACAGAACAGCACTTCAGTGTCTGATTGTAAAGTTGTTTTTCACTTTGAGGTCAGGAACCCCTTTGGGAATTTATGTCCTCCTCACTTCCACCAAATTTAAGTCTGCTGCTTTAGGTGTACTCTCTAGGGTCTTTGCTCTTTGGTTTGTTTGGGTCCCCACATCCCAGGTATTTGCTAGAGAGAAAGAAGAGCTTAGGTGCAATGTTAGAGACACTGAGGATTATCGAGAATATTTATGCACAAAACTTCAGAAAATGTGTGTTGAATATTAATTCTTAAATGTCTTAAGAGCTGGAACTCAAGATGTAATCTAAGTGTCTTGAAATCAAAGACTGATCTTTCAGGAGTGTAGAAGAGAAGAAGAGCAAAAAGGTCTAATGCTCAGTGTTAGGGGAGGACATTCCCTTTTAATGGCCTCTGTGTCTCCCACCTGCCAGCACACTTATATTCCTTAACCCTGCTCTTGACATCTTAAGGGCAGTGGGCGGTGTCCCAAAGAGGACTCTTCTGGTACTGGTTAGAACAGTGTCTGTACTCATAAAGGTGGGAGCTGCTACATGGGGTAGCTCATCTGTTCTAGACGGGGAAACCCCTGCGGAAAGAACCTGGCCTCGGTGTAGCCTGGAATGGCCGAATGAATACCATTGACCCATGTAGTGATGGAGTAAAACTGCAAGTAGAAGCTGGCTCTTCCATGTGGGTAGCTCCCCCCTTCTCCTATCAGCATCTACACTCAGTGAAACAGCCCCATGGAGGCAGGTTCTTCCATGGTGCTGTGGGCCGACATTATTACTAAGTCTTTTGCCTGGCGGCTTTGGTAGAGTGAAGCCATACTTCTGTACTTAGTAGCAGATTTAAACAGCTCACTGTAGAAGGGACTTCAAAGAGTCTCATTTTTTTTTCCTGTAGACTGAAGTTTCTCCATTGTGTGAATGTCTGTTACAAAGACAGAAAAAGCTCCTAGAAGTGAGAGGAAGCAGTCACCAGTATGGCACAGGTGCTTTGGGACCAGAGGCTGTATCAACGACACAGCTAAGTGTCGTGAATATCCCCACCCTGAGAGCCCTAGGCTTGTTTTTAAAGAGCTTGATTTTGTTCTTGTGTCTTCCTGTAGGAAAACAGGAGGACACAGAAAAAGAAGGCAAAGAAACTGAGAAGGCCCACCTATTCACTAGATCGCCCAAGTTCATGCTTACATCCTGTCGCATCATTCCCAAAGAGAGGCTGACAACAGATCAGAGGTTGAAGAGAAGACCAACTAGACATAGGTAAAGACAGAATGAGCCAGATAACGAGAAGGAGCCCGAAGATTAGAGCACATTGCTAGACTTAGTTTGAGGCTATTCAGAGAGAAACAGAGAGAAGTCAGGTTGAATCAGTCATCTAGGAGAGGGGTTTGAGCTGAATAGCTGAGTTGAACCAACCATCCAGAGCTCAGAAAGAACTAGAAAGGGTGAGCTTATTCAGCAGTAAGTCTCAGAGGCTGAAAGCATTCTATGCCTAGATTTTACTGAGGCTAGAAGCTTCCAGTACTAGGCATAGGTAGGCAGATGGAAGCAGTAAGCCTCCGAGACAACAATTAAATCAGACGAATAAAAGTTACTTTTACAATGCCCTCTTCTGACCTCCATGGGGACTGTGTATGTGTGGTACATAGATACACATAAAGGCAAAGCAACCACACACATAAAAATGAACGAATCTCTGAAACAAACAAAGTACATATATACAGACATACATACACGCATGCATGCATGTATGAACTCCCTCCTGGAAGTCTCCCTCCCTGGCACTGTTTCTATAGCTATCCAGTGACTTTATAGTCATGAGTGTTCCAGGTAGTTTTCCTGGTTCTTTCTAATTGTTGCACCAGATGCACTCTGTGCAAATCTTACCTTCTTGCACAACAGCACGAGCATCTCACTCCTCCCCTTTTTTTGAGGCAGGTTTGCAGTATAACTAATGCCTCCAACTCCATGCCCTGCCTCTGCTTCTCAAGTGCTAGGATCACAAGAGAATATCACTCCTGGCATTGTGTTCTCCTGATGGTTTCTTTCTCTATCCTGAGTCACTGGAAAAAGCAATGCTGCTTCATTTCATCCCCCCCCCAGTGATTTGCATTTGTGTTTTGTTGCTCTTTTACAGTTTCTTTCAACTTTAAGACCATTTTTATTTAAACTAACAATTATATAATTCCTCAGTGAGGAGGAGGCTTTGTTTTACTTTCCCACCTTACCCTCCCTGTCAGCTTCTGTTGTCACAGCTCACCTTCCTTTTTTTTAATTTTTTAATATTTATTTATTTTATATAGATGAGTGCTCTATCTGCATCTACACCTGCATACATGCCAGAAGAGGGCACTAGATCCCTGTATAAAAGGTTTTGAGCCACCATGTGATTGCTGGGGATTGAACTCAGGACCTCAGAAGAAGAGACAGTGCTCTTAACCACTGAGCCATTTCTCCAGCCCTCCAGTAGCCTTCCTTTAGTCTGGCCTTCTCCATCAAAAAGGTTGAATAATTGCTTCCCACTGAAAAGCTCTTCAGTGGCTTCCCAATACTTTCACAGTGGAGTCTGGTCCTTATAGCCTGTGAGACACTGTCTGACCCCTGCTACCAGCCTGGCTAGAAAGCTAAAAAAAAAAAATCCCTTTTCCTTAAAGCAAAGAAATACATAATAGTCACAAAAGTGTCAGGGTTAAATCAACTGTTTACAATTCTCCAGTCTGCCAGGCTGTTGTGTGGTTTTGTTCCTCTGTTGCCTGTTACAGGCAAATATAACCCCCCAAACCCCAACAGCAGACCTTGAGTGCTGGGCTGTGTCCTATTTAGCCTGAAGTTCCAGTGGATAGATGATGAGCAAATTCTTTTGAGACGAATAGGGGCTGAAGGAGAAAGAAGGCTTATTTCATCGGTAGGAATAGGCAGCAGTGGCAACAGCTCTTTGAAAGGACATGTCCGGAGGGTGCTTTGTTTGATGAAGCAAGAATATAAGGGCAATATGCTAGATTAACCATGGGCAGTTGATTACAGAAAGCAGAATCTTTCTCCAGTAAAAAAGGGGAGAAGGCTAGCTGTATTAGAGAGTCCCCTTATATAGTGAGCAAGAAAGCCAGGCTGTTTGAGGGACCACAATGCCTGTCTTCTCCTCTTGGAGACTTTGTGGTTCTTACCATCTCTTCATGAGAAGCTGCTCCATTTCTGTTTTCTCTGCTTTGTGCATGTGCTGCTAGGTAGATGTGCAGTTGTCCTTGGCTCCCTGGTCTGAGTACCAACAGGCTGCCTCATGTCTCCCCTGTTCCCATCCCAGGTCTCAGGATCAAGATACCACTGCAGCCACAGTTGGAGGAAGGTCCTGTGACTCTCCTGGTAGTTGTGTTAGCCCACATCACCTGAGGCACTTGGCTCATGAAAGGTTTGTTTACTCACAGTTTGGGAGGATAAGTTCACAATCAAGTAGCGCCAGTTGCTTTAGGCTTCTAATAGGGTAGAACACCATGGCAGGAGTTTCTGTAGGGTTAGACCCCTCAGGAAGCAGGAAGAAAGAGAAAGGAAGAGACCAGGGTTCTACAGTCCCTTGCATCCCCAGACCTCAGGACCTCCTGCTATAACCTCATCCTTTAAAGGTCCACAGCATTCCCACCCTGGAGCCCAAGCCTTCCCATATGGACCTTTAGGGAACATTATCCCAACCTGTTCAATAACTTTTGAGCGGTAGAATTGTTTGTGCAGAGTTGAGTTTTTTGTTTTGTTTTGTTTTTCTCTTCTCAGTTTTGAAAAACTGCATCTGCCTCAGGAAGAGAGCTTCACCAACCACAGCCAGCTTGCTTTTGAAAGGCAGTTCCGTTCCTCAAAGCTCTGCCAGGAGCACAGAGAGGCTGTGAAGGTCTGGGAGTAGGGCTGGGTGGGTGTGGTTTGCAACACTCACTGTGCAGCAAGCACACGTGCAGACGGATCCTGACAAAGCCCACCGCCCTCACAGAGGAGGCAGTAGCCAGAGTTTGAAGTGAAAATGTAGAGGCAGCAGGGAGAGGGGGGGTGGCCAGGTGCTCAGTTCCTCTCTGCCCTGTTGGCCACTGAGCAGAGAAGGGAACTGGAAAGACAGCCTGTGTGGATCCCTGAACCCCGCAAGTGCAGAACCCTTACAAAGTGGGGGCCAAGAAGACTGGCCAGAGCTTGTTCACCAATAACTTCAGCTCTCCTCTTCCTTGAGCCTTCGTCCCTCTTGACAGTTTTCTACCATTTACTATTCACCACACTGACCATTTGTTCTTAGCCTGGAATGGTGGTGCACACCTCTCATCCTAGCACTTGGGAGCTGAGGGCAGGAGAATAAAAAATTCTAGACCAGGGGAGAGATGGGTTAGCTACTAAGAGCACTTGGATGCTCTTTCTGAGGCCCCAGGTTTGATTTCTAGCACCTACACAGAAACTAACAACCTTCCAGTTTCAGGAGGTCTGACGCTTTCTTCTGACACAGGCATACTGTGTGTACTCTGCACAGATGTACGTGCTGGTGAAACACCCATACACATAAAATGACATTTTTAAAAATTAAAAAGAATTTGACGCCAGCCTGGTCACAAAACAAGACCCTGTCTCAAAACAGGGCCACCAGCAGCCACAAAAATTGTTCTAATAGGAAATTTAAAAATGTTAACTTATATCAAAAAGGGATGGAGGAGGGCAAAGTGAGCTTTTACATATTTAAAAAAGCAATTTTCCCAGCACAGATTTGCATACAGGCTAACAAATGCATGGGCTCCTGGCTTCTTTGTCTCCCCTTCTCCCCCTGTGGAGCCTGAGGCTTAGAGGGGTGCATGCTTCTTCTTCTTCTGATTCCTCTTCCCTCTGCCACATGCCATGTTTTCAGCTTGAAAACTCAAAAATTATTACATTAACTTTCTTTATTCTTGAGAATTTCATACGCATATACAATGAAACATCATACCTCCCCCATATTTCTCCCAGTTCTCCCCAAACCACTCTCAACAGTCCCTGCCCAAATCCATGTCATTGTGCTCTTCCAGAGAGCACTGAATGCAGCTGCCCCATGTGTGTGCCTGTGGGGCCATCTGCAGTGTGGGGGCCTACTCCTGGCAACGTTAAAGCAGAGGGAACAACGTCTCCCTCAGCAGCCACAAACTGCCACTAGTGCCTCAGTAAGCATGGGGTTGGGCAGTCACCCCCCTCGCCCCTTCATCTATGCCACAGTTCTGTCTGGATTGACTAAGTACCACAGCTACTGTGAGGGCAACAGGCCAAGTTCACAACATTCTTCCCCATTATTAATCAGGCACACACACATATACACAACTTTCTCTTTCTCTCTCTCTCTCTCTCTCTCTCTATATATATATATATATACATATATATATATATTCTGTATATATATATATATTCTGAGACAGAGTCTTACTGTGCAGCCCTGGCTGTCCTGGAACTACCTATGTAGACTACACTGGCCTCTACCTCCCTACTGCTGTGCCACTAACCCTGGCTCTTATATTCTCTTTCCTCTTCCTGACTATCCCGAGCCTGGGTGGTAGCTGGGGACACTGAAAATGGAGCACCGTTTAGGGCTCGGCCCTCAAATCTCAGCACTGAATTGCATGCTTTGTGACCCAGCTTCTACTCAGTTGGGTTGTTCTCAGTCTCTTTAGAAACAAATGCTCCCTTCAGGGCAGAGCCAACCTTTTGGTAATGAGACAGGACATTGTCACGTAAGGAGGTTACACTCAAGAACTAGGCTGGTAAGTTACAACAACAACAACAAAATCTATTGTTTCACTAAGCTTCTGGGGTTTTTTTGTGTGTATGTTGGGTCTGGCTCCTTGTAATCCCCAGTGACTGTGGCCCACAAGCCACAGGTTAGACATGTATGCTGGGATGGAAGCTTACTTATACATATCCTCCTGTCCAAGTACCAGTAGTGAGCAGATTACACGTCAGCAGACTGTCCCCCTTCAGGTCTTTGCCTCCTTTAGCACCTGGCTTCCAGGGACTCATTCCCGCTAATGTTTTTTATGTAGGACAGGCCTGAAGGCAGCAAGTTTTGTTTGTTTTTGTTTTTGTTTTCTCTTATATTTGCTGGGCTAGGACCCAGTCACATGGCTGTCCCTGAGGGTGCAAAGGTGCTAAGGAAAGCAGCCTCTGGAGGGTTTGAACAAGTGGAGGGGATTGTTTTGGGGATAGCTTAGCATCTCTGCCATACTGTAAAGGTAGGTGGAGTTGAAGATAGAAAGGCCCATGTGAGAACTGCACAAACCAACAGAGCAGTGAGGCAAGCAGAGTAGCTGGGAACCTGTCTGAGAGGACAGGAGGGCTGTGTCTGTGGCAAGGTCTGTGGGGTCCTTTCTCCCCTGGGGACCTGCTTAATCAACACTACATACAGTTCTTTTCTTCTGTGAACAGACTTTAGAGGCCAGACCACACTCCTGGACAGCGGCTCGGCACTCACAGGGTCCAGTGCCGGTGACAAGAAAAGTAATGACCGCGGAGCTGCTGGGGATGCATCTGGCCTCCCTGCATGGGGCAGCCAAGTCAGGCCTCCAGTGGTCATAGAGTGTCTCCTTCACAGTGCACATACAACACTCAAAATACAGAGACTGCTGCTTTTCTCCAGGAAGGAAGCTATTACAAGAAATATCTAGATAACAGCACTCAGTTTTTCGAGCTCTGGCCGTGAGCTAGGAAGTCTGTGTGGTGCTTTCGTTTCACTGAGGCGTTTAACAGCTAGACAGCTTTTTATCTCCCAGTACTTGGTGCTCAAAGGGGCCATGAGCCTGGCTTGGGGCCAGACTGCAGCTCAAAGGTATCAGGGCTTTATTCAAGTTGAGGCCTGCCCACACTCTGGGGCACACTGTCCCCACAGATGCTCAGGTGTGGCAGCGGAGGCAAACTGCAGAGATCTCCCTGGTCTGCTACTGCATGTTGCCTCTCTTTGGGCACTTGAAGGGGTTTGACGGGGACTTCTCACCAAGGGGAGACTTCCTTGTGCGGACTACCTGCTTCTTGGAAAGACTCTCCTCATATCCTCTAGGGACTTCGGCTCCCATTTCAGTGGGGAAGAGAGCTTGACTTCCTGAGAGGCAGATGTGGTCACTAGGTAAAGAAGACAACTGGATGTACCCTCTCTAGTCATCAAAGTCCTATGACTCAGATTCTAAGGGCTCCTGTGTCCTGAATCTGGCCAAGGGGTCATGACTGTTGAGCGGTAGGGACATGACACTAGTCGCACTTACCCTGGCAAGGATTAAAGTCCCCACAGCCCTGGAAAGGTAGGCTTGTGTAGAGCTATAGCCACAAGTACCTCAGAGCTTCACACTTGCTGGGTTGCCCCAGATGTCATGCAGCAGCTCTCCCTGACATCAGTTCCATCTTGCTTCTGCACCAACAAAACATGCTCTGCAAACCCAGGAGAGCCGTAGTCGGCCTCCTCAGGAGGGTTGTGCCTGGTTCTTGAAAGCTCCCTGTAGATAAGTAGAATGCTGGTTGTTTCGGTTTTATGTGCCAGATAAAGGCTCTTTTCTAACCAGTGGGTTGTAGGTCAGTATCTGGAGTCAGTAAAGGATGAGTCTTTAAAATATCAATCTGCTGTACTGTGATTTTGCCAAGTGGTTATATTAAACAAAAATGGGGAGAATGGAAGAACCCTGAGCCTCTTCTGGTTACTCCAGCTGCTTGGAAAAAGATCTGTCGCCTTAGCAGTCCAAGTGACTCTTTGAAAGGATGGACCTTTCCTTCGTTATCTTCACTGGAGGATTTTGTGTTCAAAGTCTTTTTTTTTTTAATCTTTTTTAAAAAAAGTTTATTAGAGTTTATTCACTTTGTATTCCCCCTGTAGCTCCCTCCATCCTCCCCTCCCAATCCCACCCTTCCTCGCCCTTCTCTACCCATGTCCTTTCCCAAGTCCACTGAAGTCCTGTTAGGTCCAGCAAGAGCCTAAATATAAGAAGGTATGAAGAGAACTCAGGAAACTAATCATCCATCGATGCAAAAACGCAAGAGACTCTTCTTGACCATTGCACAATGGGGTCACCCCTGCTGGTCAGCTAGGAGTGGCACCGGGAGACAAAGACCTTAGGTTTTTAAAAGACACAAGGCGGGAATCTCCTGGGGTTGCCTTCTTGGCCATTTAGGATTGGATGAAGTGTTTAACTTTTAAAATAATTGGTCAGTTCTGGTCACCCTTAGGTCCAGTCAGCCCTGTCGTAAATATCTGATCGTCAAGTTTGGAATTTCCTGCCATCTACAGTTGAATATGGGAGGGTGATTAACTCATCCCATGTCTGTTCTGAGGAGTGGGGGTTACAGGCTTTGGATCAAAGGTCAGGAGAAGGATTGGGGCCATTTGGCCCAGTTTCCAAACAAAGCCCATCTCACCGGCGCCAGCTGGTGATTTTTTTTCCATTTAGTAGAGATCTCTGCTTGTTCTCTTCCTTATCTTTGCCCTCACAGATGGCTAATGTCAGGAACTTTTACATTCCTCGGTTCTCTGGAGAAGCACTAAGAGGCTTTAATTAACATGGGCCTAAAACTTGCAAATATAAGTTATAAGGCAATTAAAAGAAACATAGGTTACAAAGTTAGTCTGATTCTTTCAGTCCTCCCCTTCCTTCTGATCCTGGCCTATCAGGTCTCATCAGGAGTGGCAATACTGTCTTCCTCTGTGGCCTGGTAAGGCTGCTCCCCACTCAGGGGGAGGTGATCAAAGAGCAGGCCAGTGTACAAAGTCTTAGTTAAATATTAAAAAATTCATATTTCAGTATTCAAAAGCCAAATAAGCAGTGAGTATGGCTGTGATAGGACAGGGACAGGATGTGATCGGGCTACTGGAGCCGCAGGGCACAGAGCTGCAGCTAGCCCTGACCTTTGCACTGCATCCTTCCTTGTACATCACCCCTTTGGTTTAGAAGGGCCAAGCGTAATGCCTATGCAGTTCACCCACCCACAAAAGCCACTAGTGACACCAAGCCCCAGAAGCCTGACATAGAAAGTTAGCGGGAGGGTTAGGCAGATCTCTTGGCCCCACCTCACCTGTCCTGGCTTCATTATAAGCGACTTCTGAAGGTTAACTGTTAAAAGCCTTTCACATAGAGAACCAAGCTTAGAAAGGAGTTACAGTCATAAACTTAACCTTTATTCTCTTTCTGTACATGTTGGCAATGATAAAGCTTAAAGATGCATGTTCTATGAAATATGCAAAACAAGGGATTTACATAAATAATTTATACTTCAGAAAATTAAAGTTGAAAAATATTCCCACATTATTAGAGTTCACAGTATATTTAAAGTATATCAAGCGTTCCTCCTTATATTTCAAACTATATTGTCTTAGCAGAGAATGATAAACTCTAGTCAGAATAAAACAATCAAGTTTCTGCTTATTCAGTGCACAAGTGGATGCTATTTCAGTATCAGGCTGCATAAGCCCCAGGGCTGCAGCATTTCACCCCAGCCCTTCACCTCCTGAGTGCTGTGACCCAGCAGAGGTCACATGGTGTGGAATGGGTCCAACATCACCAACTCCACAGTGGACACATTCGCCAAGTGGTAACATGTGGTGGTCCGATGCCTCATTTCCACATAATACTTTTATAGCCCTGATAATGGAAACCCTGGCATCTAACACAGCTAAACATGTTAACACTATTACAAGGCACTGTGCTGTGGCGTTTGTTTAAAAGGTCATGTTTGCATAGATTGCTAGCAATTTAGTGTGCAATAAAATGCAGGCCCAGCATGTGTGGCTTTGTGATGGATGAAGCCATGTGACGCTCCATGGCCCAGGAGAGCAACCACACACTCTCCAGACCCCGCCTTGAGGGCAGCTCCCTTGGCGCTGCTGCCCTAGGCCTCAGAGGAGAGTTTTTTGTTCAAAAAGCTGCAGGTCAAAGCGGACCCACACTTCTCCAGTGGGGACTTCATGCAGCAGCAGTCGGCGAGTTGTTGGGCCTTTGCTTTCCTGTTCCGTTCGAATTTTTGCCACTGGAACTTCAGTACGACCCAGGAAGTCTGGGGAATAAACAGCATGTGAGAATCAAATATTTCTGTTCCTCTCAAGATTTTTAAAATGTCCCAACATCTAAATCCTGAACTAGGATTTAGAAAGCTTTCAAACACTGAAGTTCGCTCCTGGATCTTTGATATAGAGAGTGGACATATGTACCATGACAGCTGCCTACTCGGTATTCAAATCTACTGACTAGAGAATGTTCTACCATCCAGGACTCACCAGTGTTTCCCAGGTATGCAGGCAGTGCCTGTGTTCAGAGGCCACGCCCTCCCCAGCACCCAGCTCCTGCCAAAGTGAGCTGCCACGGGCCTGTCATTTCTTCAGGTGTCATGGGGTGTAAGCACAGCTTAGGACCCTGGGTGCAGACTCAGAGCCCAGAAAACTGGGAATACCTTTAGGCCTTCATGCCAGCCTCTACTTACCATCTGGAGAAAACTGGTCTCTGTCAAACATAGTGAGACACAGAACGTCCTGGTAAAGATCCTTGATGAAGAACTGGCAGTTGAAGTTCCACTTGGGATTTAGTGTGTCTTGGAGGGTCCTGGTGGTATAGCTTTGGGAGCCCATGCTGATTTCACAGTAAGGATTACTCTTCCCTGCACAGAGACAACCAAGGGCACATGTAGCATGGTGAGCACCCAGCTCGACCAGGGCGGGGGTTGCTTCACCAGAGACCGTGGCAGGATGCACCACTGCCTGGGGGCACATATCCCTTAGAGTCTAGCAGCTGTATGGCGCCATGTTCCTAACAATTCCACAGTCCTGGGGAACAAGTACACATTCTAAGAGTAGGACTGCTCCCTACCAGCCTGGGCAGGCACCTGTGTGGCATGCTTTGTATATTTTCATGCGGTAGCAATCAAAATGGTGGGTGCCGGCTCTTACTGGGAAACCATGAATAAGTAGCTAGGATCCAATACATAGCTTATCAGGGTTCTTATCAGAAACTACCTTTTAAACACTATCCATCATTCCATGTTCAAAAGAGGTACCAGTAAGGAACAGGGTGCTATTAAAGCAACACTTACCATTTGGTTTGCAGGCTTTTAATTCTGTTGCTTCAATGACATGTACCATCAGGCGCCCGATACCTGCAGTCTTCTGAGAACGGGCTACAAAAGAGGAAAGAAGTCGTGTTAACTTCTCATCTGAGAATGTACACAGAAACCACAGTGAAGAAGCAATGCTGTACGGCTTCAGTCTGTTCTCACATAATCTTTCTCTGATGCTGGAGACCGTGTTCCTTAACCATGCTTTGCCAGTGGCCATGCTTCCAGCTCCTACTGTCATCAACCAGAGCTTTAGCCCTAGACTAATGGTATCTGCTGAGTTAGCAGCCCAGCATTTGTTTCTTCCCCTAGGCTGTGCCACCTGCTAGGGATGCCTTTCTGGCTACCTTTGCCCAATAGTATCCCACTCACGCTTCAAGACCCAGGCTAATCTCAGTCACCTCAGCCTCCTTCCATCCTTGTACCACTAGCCTTGACTGAGGAGCATCCCACAGCCTGCTGGGCCTGACATTCTGCACCCCATCTGTCTCCTCTGC